GGCACACAATTTCAAAATATTTATAAAATTTAGAAGGCCAATTATGAGCCGTAGTTAAAGAATTCAGTAACGGAAATAGGAATACTATTTCAAAGAAACTCAATGAAGACAGGCTAGCTCACCTTGGGTAAGTGATGTACCCACTCTGAACTTTTTCTTCTCTAAAATGAGGATATTAATGTTTTCTTTTCAAAACTCACAGGATTATTGGGAGGATAAAATGGGGTATAGCACTTAAAATTCTGAGTATGGTACTTCACACAAGTACACCCTCTGCCAATATCAGCTTATGGCATTTGATCATTATTATTTTATCATCTTTATTACTGATGGGACATACACTTTATTATACTGCTTTCATTAGCAGAGCAGGGTTTGTCCCAGGATTTCATAAATGATTTTCTGCCTGGTGGTCTTTAGTTGAATATACAAATGATAACAGAACTATTTCTATTTTTAAAATGTGTGGCCAAACTTCTGTTTTAGGTCCTGTCTCAGGTCCTTGGAGTGGGACGCTGAGGGTAGCGAGTGATACGTGATGTAGACAGAAGGGGAGAAAAATGATCTATCTTCCAATTTTCCTTGAGTGGGGGCACACATAGAGCAAGAGCAAAATCTACCTCAGGAGCTGAATTTAGAGTTTAGAAAAATTCCCACTGGTCCAGTCATTGTAACCTTTGTGATTCAGGTGTCAGTTTTGCCCTGAACCTGCAGCATTTTAGCTATTATTCTGCTGCACAAAAATCAGTGACCTAATTTCTTGATGAAGACCAAATGGAAGGTTTGGATAACAAACAGATTAGATGACTGGCACTTTTACAGAAGCAGTTGAAAGACTGAAAGTGCAACAGAACTTAAAACAAATAAAAGAAAACTTGCTCTTGTCTCCTGGGGCCTAGGAAATTCTCCTCCAGACAGACGTCAGACTTCTCCCAATTAGAGCCCTTCAGAAAGCCATCAGGCCACAATTAAAATGCAAACAGACTGGCCAAAAACTCCTGAGGACCCTTGCCAGTACCCAATTGTCCAGCTTTGGAACTCACGAGACTGGGTTGATAAGCTTTGCAGGCTTGATAACACACACACACACACACACACACACACACACACACTCTCTGTCTCTCTCCTCTCACTTTCATGCATTGCTTTATGGTGTCCTCAGCACCTTCACATTCATTCTCGCCTCTAACATTCATGAAAACTTTTGTGTGTGACACTTTCTCCCATTGGGGGCCTCTGCACCTGCCAATCTCACTGCTCCCACAACCGTCCCTTCCTCTTCCCCTCCATCTTCTACTCATTTTCAAGTCTAGGACTTGAAACGTCTGTCAGGGAAACCTCCCTGGCCTTGCAGACTAGATAGGGGGCTTGTGACATATTCTCACTGTTCCCAAGTCCCCCTTTCACAGTGCTTTCCCCAGTTTGCCAGTGAAGGTTTGAACTTCTGTCGAGTTCATGCCAGTCTTCTCTTCCAAATAGTAAGCTCCCCCAGAGTAGGGAGCTCACCTGCCACGCTCCTCTCTGTGCCCCCAAGAGGTAACAGAGAGACCGGAGTGTGGAGAGGCCTCCACTGGAGCGATCAGTGAGACAGTGTTGTCACCCTCATCTGACAGGGAAGGAGGAGATCCAGAGGAGATAGTCACTTCTTAATGCCCTGGCTCTCAGCAGCTCCTCCCACTCCTGTGCTGCCTGGGAAGGGGTTTTCTTGCCATTTCTGAGGGTGGCCAGGACCCATCTAAGCTGTAGCAGAAATCTCTGGTGCTGCCACCCCCACAAGACACCCAAAGCCCAAGTCAGCATGACTTGAACAGCTTGGGCCCCCTCATTCCAGGATCACTCAGCACCGCTGGAGGCAGGTCCTTGAATACCCTGCAATTACTCCTACTCTCTCAGGAGCCAGGAGGGCAGTGATGGGGATAATTAATGAGGCAGTGACAGGTCCTTCTTCATGACCAAGAATATCTCCCACCTCCTGGAGGCATGTCTGCCTTCAGTTTGGTGGTACACCCTCTCTCATGATCACAGAACTGTTTACTCATCACTTAACTCCTTCAGCATCTGGGTGAAGTTGGACGAGTGGAGCTCCTGATCCATGAGGCTGCGGGCTCCACGACAGCAGGGCCTTTGTCTGACCTCTTCCTGGCTGCAGCTCCAGTTGTTGGAACAGCCCAGATACACAGCAGGTGCTCAATGGGTATTTGTTCAACAAACACATACAGAGCTTTCTATGTGCCAGGGACTGTCCCTATATTTTATAGGGACTGCTCCTGGTCTATTTTACAGATTAGGCAATCAGAGAGTTAAGAGACTTGCTCAAGGTCAAAAACTTATTCAAAGTAGAGCCAGGATTCACAGCAAGGTGGCCTGGGTCAAAGCACAAATGGAGACAGATGAGACGGGGAATTCAGGCAGGAAGGTGCAGATGCCGACTGTCTAGTGAGGCACAGGTGGGAATGTGGGTACGAGGGCAAGTCTAGCACCAGGAGAGGTATTCACCAGAGAAGTGAGAAGGAACATTGTGCTGCACATTTCCCACCCAAGTGCAAGCTCCAGGTCCCCAAGGTGGCTGAGCTTTAAGAGAACATTGTGCCATCTCCTGGGACTGTAACACAGGTTCCTGCAGCAGTAAATCACTGGGGGATTCAGGCACAGAGGAACTGGTTCTCACGGGGAGGGACAGGGACCTGAGTAGCAGCCAGGGGCTGAGTCTCAGGAGGTCAGGTGAAGAGAGTTCTGGAAGGGGATTTCCAAGCCCAAGTCCTGCTTTGCCCCTTTACCCTCCGGTCTTTCCTCAGGTCTGTTCTTTCCTCTGGGCCTGTTCTTCCCAACTTTACAATGTGGGTAGTCACTCTGCAGTTTAGGATGACCACAGGATCCTTCTGCCTCTAATCTGTGTATGACAGTACATACAAGTAACTAGCGACAGTGCTACAGAATCTTAGAAGTAGTCTCCTCATCCAGTCTAATGTAGGAATCTCTGCTCCAGAACTCGCTCTAATGGCAAAGGTTTCTGTTAGTATTGCAAGCCTGTGGGTCTCAAGTGAGGATGGATTTGGGAACATTTGGCAATATCTGGGATGTTTTTTGATTGTCAAAATAGGAAAGGACGTACTAGTGGTGTCTAGTGCTTAGAGATCAGAGGTGCTGTCAAATACCCTGTGGTGCACAGGTCAATCATCATACCAAAGAATTATCCAACATCAAATGTCAATAGTTTGAGGTTGAGAAACTCTGCTCCAGGCCCAGGGGACTCATTAAAGCTGGAGGTCAATTCCTGGCCCTGGGCATCTGTGGCTTGATTAAGTCTGACAGGAAGACACACTCCTTGTAACTGGCCCTGAGGCCTCAGCGCTGCCTTTTGGGGAAACTTGGAGGTAGGGCTCTCACTGCCCTTCAGGATCGTTGTTCAAACATCCGGGCAGAGTTAACCACAGAGACTCAGCTAGCAGTGATCAGTCGTTTGATGAGGGCAGTTAGGGCCAGTGTTAGGGCTGAGGGGCCAGTGTCAGGAGCCAGCGGTCTCAGGGAGAAGACCAGCAACTCTTACACAGCCTGGAAGGACAAAGTAGAAAGAAAGAGCCAAGAGAGCTCCGAGAGGTGAAGTCCTACAGATTCTGTCACCCAAGGCTGGCATATCCCATTCCTCCTCTCTCTGTTCAGTTGCCACAGTCAGTTTGTGCTCCCCCAAATCCATATGTTGAAATTTCACCCTCCAAAATGATGGTGTGAGGAGGCGGGGCCTTTGGGAAATGGTCAGGTCATGAGAGTGGAGTCCTCATAATGAGGTTTGGGCCCCAAGAGGTTACTCATCTTTTCCACCTTGTGAGGGCACAGAAAGAAGGTAACATCTATGAGAAAGTGGGCTCTTACCAGACAGAGTCTACTGGCCCTTTGATCTTGGGTTTCCCAGGCTCCAGAACTGTGAGGAATACAGTTCTACTGTTTATAAGCCACCTAGTCTATGGCAGTTTGCTATAGCAGCCCTCGGATGGAGGTGCCAGTTACCACCAATGTATCAGGGTCGCAACCCTGACCCTTCCTCAGGGAGCCTTCCTGGCACTCCTCTCACCCACCAAATGTGCTCCCCACTTCATCCTGCTCTCCTTCATAGTGCTCACCATGGCTGGCACCAGTCCATCACTGGGCTGTATGGTTGTGTGTGGGAGGGGTCCTCACAATGCCCCTGGTGCAGAGACTGCATACAGTAGGGGTTCAAGAAATGGCGGTTGAAGGGATGAATGAATAAATTGAGGACTGGCTCTGGCAGCTTCAGTACTGGGTATGTTCAAGTATAGAAAGGAAGCTTGGGAGCTTGGTGAGATGGCCTTATCTTCTGGGCTGAGTGCACCTACACTGGTGGGCAGGGAGGGGCGCGGAGGACTTCTTAATGCAGCCGAGTCAAGAGCACTGGGATGTCCTGGGCTGAGGACAGGGACTGAGTAGGATCTAGAGACCAATCAGGCGACTTGGGGTTGAGGTAATCCTGGGGTAAGAGGGCTGGATCCTGGCAGGTAGCAGCCTGGTTTACTTTTAGGGGATTGCTGGTGCCTTCCATCCCTCTTTGTGTACTGGGAGAGCCTCAGGAGCCTGGAGAGCAGCCTGCCGTGATGCTCTGAGTTGTGGGGGAAGGAATCGGACTGGATGGGGGTGGAGGGTTAGAGGCTGTATAATACTATAGACTCTGTAACCAGGCATCCCCGTGGCCCTGTGTAGCTCAGCCTCCCACCCCCAGGCGGAGCCAGGGGAGCCTACTCAGAGCACTGCCAGGGAAGCAGGCCAGCTGAGCAGCGGGTGGAGACGCACAGGGATGGAAGGCAGATTACATGTCACTTCATATTAGCTACACCAGCAACTTTCCCCGTCCACCCAGAGAGGGGAAAATTAATTTCAATTCTGAGGACAAGCCAATTGTAAGGATAACACTGGAATGGAAGGAGACTTTATCTCCTTTCCAGCCATGAGTGGACCGGAATGCCTTACAGAGGGTCAGATTGGCTTACCTGTGAGGTACATCTCCTCTCCTTCGGTGAACATCTGGTGGCAGCGTACACACCTGGCACAGGTGGGGTGGTAGTGCTTTCCTCCTGCCTATGAAAATCAAGGGACAAAACAGGGTGTCAGAGCTGGGGCTGCTCTCTAGGGGGCACAGGCTGCTTTCATGGGCACATAGGTGTTGTTGGCCTCTTCACAGTCCTGTGGTTGGTTGGGAGGCTACTGGGGCAGGGTTAGAACCAAGAGGAATTCCTTGGACACCTGCTGGGCAAAAGGCCCTCAGAGGCCTCTGATGCCACTGCCTTATTCCAACACAAGGAAACAGTCTTGCTTTGAGGATATTCCAGTACTTCCCCAAGTTTGGGCCCTCTACCACTAATGATATCTGAAGAGGTTTTAAGTGGTACGGGAACTTCAGATTTATTAACATTGGATCAATGAAGAAAAAACTGATCTCCTTTTAAGCCTTAACAATTTTATTAAAGAGACAATACCAGTTTGGTGGCAGATTCAAAACATTTTAACCCTATCTTTTTTACGAATGAAAAAAGTGTGCAGGGCTTTAAGCCTCCACAAGCAATTGAGTCTAGCTAGAACTACATTCATTTTTTGGGTGACCTGTAATATGGCCAATGATACCGATTTTCCTAGTTTGCTGTTGTGTACATTTTCTTATGTGGAAGTGAGCCAACTTAAAGACAGGTTAAAGTATTAGGTAAGGATGAGTATACTAGGTTCGCAGACATGGCAAAAGCTACCAGAGTTGGCACGTAAAAGACAGATTTTAGGGTTCAGTACACAAATAATTGTGTTTGAAAATCCGGGATCTGCTGGAGGCCCCCCTAATCCCCAGACTGGACTGTCCTACCTGGGTGCACTGGCTCTGAGACCAGTGATTTGGCTTTGGTGAGTCCCTTTCACTTTTTCCACCTTTCTTCCCTACAATTATTTAAATTAAAATGGAAGTGGATGAACTCTGCAAATTCTTCTATGGGAGAAGAAACAGCCTCAGAGAAGGTTGTGCCTCAAAGTCTCACTAGAAACCGGTAGCAGTGTTAGGGTCAGACTGTAGAACTTGGTCACCAGCCTGTAGGCATTTCATGCTGCTAGTTCTGACTCTAAACCCCCAGCTGAACAGACTTGAGACACAAGGGCCCCTGGGTAGTGGCTCCAAGGTTTCTATACGGGTAGAGTGGTGTGGTGCTTGGGTTGGAAGGCAGAGCTCGTTTCGAATGAATATTGTGCATGTCATGGAAGAGAGATTTTGAGGGGGAATAGGAAATAGCTGAGGGAAATTGATGAATATTGGGGGGATCATGAAGTACCCCCTCCAAGCCATGGGATTGGTTTGCTTATTCTGGAAATGCTTAACTTATGGTAAAAATTTAGTAAGAATGTAAAGAAGGGCAGGTTTTTACAACAGGGAAAAGAAAGTCTCCACTATCCTTTTTTTATCACTCTTGGTGGCTCCCACCAATGAGAAACCATCCTTGTCATCATCTAAGCAAACTATGTTCAAACTTGAGAAGGAGCCTACTATTTTCCTAAGCTAGGAAGTCGTGGGACTGACTCTGCTGTACCATGACAAGGATAATTGGTTTAATTGGTAGCCTCTTCCCACTCTGTGTCTCTTTATCATTTCAATTATAGACCGTTTCTCCAGGATAGCAATAGCACCTTGGCAAAACTGAAACATAGCCTCTTTCTAAATGTCACAGCCCCCGACCCCATCCCAGCTAAAAGAGCCTCCCTTCCATTAAGTTGCTTTCTGCACCAGTCATGGTGAGGGTTGCTGAGATGCGTATGAAGCTCTTTTAGCTGGGAAAAAGCGACTCATGTCTTGGGTCTCACTTTACTCATCTGTAAAATGAGGATGTTGAACTAGTTGATTGCTAAAAGTCTCTTCCAGCTCTTAGGAAAAAAAATCAATAAGTCCAAGATGCTAATGGAGCTTCACACAAATGGAATCAATCAAAACCCAGTCACAGCTGCTGGAGGAGGAGATTATTACAACGCTAAGCAGCAATGCTGGGGGAAAGAGAGCCATTGCCAGTAGAATTTCAAAGCAGCTTGGAGATGCTGGGACAGCTTTCCATATGCAGTCCTATGTATCCAAACTTCTTCCCTTCTTAAAAGAAAGGCCAGCTTTTGTGATCTCCCATTCCACTGACCCCCAGCATGCTGGATGCCTCTTCCCCAGCTGGGCAGACACAACCAGCAATTCTTCTCCAATATCTAGCAGCTTCTTCTCCCCCGCCCCCTTGCCCTTCACTACTCTACAGAGTTTGACCAACACTGATCAACCTCACTATGTTTTGTGAAACTCTGTCCACCCACATCCCTGACAGTCCCTCTTCTTCCTCTGGTAACTCCTCACCTCTTTCTGCCGACTGTAGGCAACGACTGCCTGAGATCCCTCCCACCCCTGCCTTGAAGATTCTGACCACTATACTCCCTGGTACTAAGATTCAAAGAGTTTTGACATTGGCCCCTTCAGGCCTATGAAGATCAGATCCACATTTCTGACTGCCTTCTCAAAACCTTCCCAGGATCTCAATCACAGCCCATCCCCAGTGGAACTCCCCATATTTCTGCTCAGCCCAGCTTGTTTCCCTGCCAACCGCTGTTCTGCAAATGCTAACACCAGGCTTTCTGTCATCCAGGTTCGATATTTTGGTACAACTTTTGGCCTTTTCTCCTTCAGTTGCCCCTCAGTTGCAGAGCTACTGGAATTCTACTTCCGTAATGGTGGAGACAAAGCTGTTGCCCTTGTCATCCTCTTCCATGTTCCCTCTCTCAGATTTAGCCTGTGAGCACCATCACACTCTCTTCCCTGAAGAGTAGCTCTAATCAGGTCACTTCTGCTCAATTTTTCCACAGCTCCCCAGTGAATGACACACAAACTCTTCATCCCTGAATCCTGGTTCTGGAAACTTAGACCTAATAAACCTTCCTGTGCTGAAGCCTTACCCTCTCTGTGTTGCCTCCTTTACTATCCCCTGAGATGCTTAATAGTAGCAAGTCAGTGAATTTGTTTATCTTATTATCTCTGACTCCCTATAATCAACCCTCCACACAGCAATCAGTGTGATCTTTTAGAAACATAATCCTATCACATTGCCTCCTGGTTTGAAGCTCTTCAGCAGCTTTGCACTGAATTTAGTATGAAACCCAAACTCGTAAACATGGCCCACCGAGTCTTATGTAACATGTTCTCTGTGATATGCCCCAGCCTCCCCGACCCTCAGTTTACAAAACTCAGCCATTTTGGCCTTTTCCTTTGTTCCCTGAATGCATTGAGTGTTCTTTGCCTAGCTCTTCACATGCAGGCCTCTTCATCCTCAGGGCTCTGCTTCAGGGCATCCCCTGGGAGAGTCCTTTCCCTCTTGCTGCATTCTGTACTGCTGGGCCCACATGAGGCTGCAGGATCATTCTAACTCAGCATTCATGGTAATCACAACTGATTGGTCAGATCAGGCACTGTCCGGTGAAAAATTAAGGTCTACATATACAAAGGTCATCATCCAAAAATCTGAGAATCAGCAGTAGAGTCAATATGGTATTAGATCCAAATTGTTTCTACTCTTTTTTTTTGTTTTTGGTTTTTCTCCAGTACCGGGAACTGAACTCACGACCTTGCGCTTGCCAGGCAGGCGCTTGGCCATTGAGCTAAATCCCCAGCCCCTGTTTCTACTCTTAAACTAGTGTTTTCCCTTTGTACAAAATTCATTTCTAATTGTTCAAGGTGGGTTGTCCCAGAGTAGGAGAAGATATCCTCTAGACACACCAGAGTGTGAAAAGGAAGGCCAGGAACCAAGATGTGAACAGAGAGTTCAGTAACGGCTCAGCAAGGTGCAGCAGGTTGTCTGTCACTGGCAGAACAAGCTGCGCACGAGACTGGGAGAGCTGTTGCCATGGTGATGGACCAGCCAAAGAAGGGCTTAGGGAGCAAGCTGCTAGACAAGCTGGTTCTTAAAGCAGCACATTACCAAATACTTAAAAAACAAAAACAAAAAGACCCCTTCCATCCTCAGGCAGAGGTAGGAGGAAAATCCTAATTGTCACTCCCCAGAAACTGTCTGGGTCTGGATCCAGAGAAGCAACTGATTTTTCTAGCACAGCATTTCTTGAACCAGAAATAATTTTGTCCACCTTCTCATTTTGGGTGTGCTCGGAGACCTCAGCAAGGTTTCTTTCAAGGTCATGTAGCAAGCATAGCTGTGGGAGGCTGAGGCTATGAAGGAAGCAGTGTGAGATGACTTTCCCCTTCCTTAGCGTGATTTTCCCATGGGCAAGTCACCCTGCTTGCACACCTTCAAGGTTACTCAGCCACTTACCTCCAAGACTCTGCCGCTGATGTATCGGTCACAAGTCTCGCATTTAATGCCAAACTGGGAGTGGTAGTCGGACTCGCAGTATGGAACGCCATCCCTGCAAGAGGAAATTCATATGGGATGAGGAAGTTAGGGGGTCAATGAGTGGTCCTGTGGCTGTCCCAGGACCTGCAACCTATGGGGATAGGAAGAACTTGGGGAGCTTATTTAGGGTGTAAATTCCTCAGACACTTCTCAGATTATAAATCACAGAACCCCTGGAGTGAGACCCAGGAATCTACATCTGATGCACACTCTGAGCATGGATGGAAACGGCTGCTCTAGACTGTCGTCCTTGCGCATCCCTTTTGCACTCGCCTCTTCTCGCTTTGTACAAGTCCTCCAGACCCACTCTATTTCTTTTGCCCTGAGGGATGTTTTTTGAAAATTATTTAGAACTTTTAAGTTTCATTTAATTTAGGGTAGGTAATATTTGCATATACTACAGCATTCTCAAGGGATAAGAGAAAAGAGTTTACTCTCCTTCCAGCCCCGTTCAGTTTTCCTTGGAGAGGTCATGTGTGAGATCAATTTTAGGGCTCTTTTTTAATAAAAAAAATCCACCTGTAGTGAAAGAACCATCTGGTTGTCCTGCTGGATCAGCAGATAACAAGACGCCTTCTCCGGACAACTTCTAGGTGCTCCATTTCTACCCAGTGATTATGACCTAGCAGACAAAATGATGACTGCCCTTGATTACTCCTATACTACCCCCTACTACTAATAACTGCTGGCATTTCTTGCTGCATGTGCCAGGTCCTCTGATGCTGTTTCACACAGATTATTGCATTTAATCCTTATGACAGCCTAAAGAGTATAGCGCTATTAGTTTTCCAATGGATGCAAGAAAAAACCCAAGTATGGAGTAGTTGGTAACTCACCGTTGGCCGCATAGGATGACCTAAGGCTAGGCCTCGTGCCCTGGTGGTCGGTTTCTTGTCCAGGGGTGTATGAGGACTAAAGGAGAAGGGCCCAGTGTCTCCTGGGGTTTAGCGCAGTGCCTAGCCCTGGTGTATCCCAGGCAATGGCAGCGATCACTCTGGTGCTCAGCAATATGAAGCTGACATAGCATTGGGGGCCTCAGTGAGCTCAGCACAGCTTGTGGGACCCACCTAACCCTAAGGACTCGCTCTAAACTCTGAGGAGAAAGGGGCGTTTTCTCACTTTTGGGTGGGAGAATTTGGTTCAGGCACAGAAAAGCCCAAAGGACAGATGTGCCATTTTTCCATCGCAAAGCTGCAGCCGCCCTGTGGCTGCTGGGAGCCCTGAATGGGACACAGAACAGGCAGTGTTTCCTCAAAGGAGAAGTAGCTGCAAGAACTGAGGCTGACAAAGGTCTGGGCCACAAAGCCAGAACTTGTTCTCACTCTGGGCGTGCAAGAGGGTAACCCTGCAGGGGGAAAAGTCATTTGTTAGGAGCCTGGTTCAAGAAATCAACCAGCACAACCTCATTTATATCCCTGGGCTGGGGAAGGCCTTAAGGAATTTGAAATACACACAGTTCTTAAGAGGCAGATGGTAAAGTGAATATTTACTGGGTATTTATTAGGTATTATGCACAAGAACAGGTCTCTGAGCCTTTATATAGTTCCCTTTATTAACCCTATTTTTAACAACTCAGATTCAGAGATGTTGAGCCCCTCACCAAGGTCACACAGGCTGGGCCTCAATCCTGGGCATCTGGTGCCATAACCAGTGCCTTGGAGCCCCTGCCACCCTCCTGCAGCCGAGAGCCAGACTGTAGAGGCTCCAGGTGTGGTGGGCAGTCTGGGCTGGGCCTCCTTGAGAGGAACTCTGAGCAGGTCCCACCTTCCCTGGAGAACTCTGATGTAGACTCCCAGACTCAAGGACTCCTGGCTGGCCACTTCGGAAGGACACTCTTTACTTGGCAGGCCTGGAGGAGAATGCCAGCCTCCTATTAATGTGGTCTTTAGGACTTTTGGTGACCTGGCCTCAGTTCACTTCTGCAAGCTTGGGACTCTGCTTCCCCTGGGCACACACTTGAGCTTCCAAACAGGGTGGCAGTGTTCAATGTTTGCCCATGTCCCTGTCCTTGCTAGGCTACACATTCTGCCTAGACGCTCTCTGTTGCATTTTCAAATCTTACCTCCTCTCACAAAGTCTAGCTCAAATACTGCCACCTTTCATGAGGTGCTTACAGACAGATTCTACTTCCTGTTGGTTAGAAATGATCCCCCCCTTTCTGAATATTCCCCACCCTTCACTAGCACCTTGGGTACAAGCAAGTGTTGTTCACTGGTCAGGATCCTCTGGCCAGCACCCACTTCCTTCTCAGCTGGTAACATACCTGGTTTCCCCATGAGGCACCAGTTTCTGTGGGCTTTTACCAAAAGCTGCTCGCTGCCTCTAGGGCTGGGTCTTCCTAGTTAGTGATTAATTTGCAATGGATATGTGCCCCAAGGGTAGCCAAATAAAGGCAGCCATGAGACTTTGGCTGGAGCTCTTGGGAGAAAAGGGCCCCTCTCTGCTAGGCTAGAATGAGAGAGATCTTTAAGCTCCCTGGATATAGCCATGTCTGAAACCAGTGTGCCTCTGACCTTTTCATTTCTATGAGTCAATAAATTCCAATTTTTGCTTTTAAGTGAGATGGAATTGGGTTTTCTGTCACTTATGATTGAATAAAAAAGGTCTTAATGAATAAAACTTCTCATAAACTCTTTTCACATACTTCTTGGTGTCCTAGTTCTTCATGTGTAGAGTTTATCTCTCTTTTTAGACTCTGGGAGTCTTGAGGGCAGACATCATGTGTGCAGCAGCTCCATATACTTACCCTCTGCTGGTATTGAGTCAGAGAGCAGGGCTAGAAAGCATCTATGGTCAGAAAGGGTCAGAGCATTGAGGGTCTGTGCTCATAATAGCTTTTAGGTACCTGAGTATATACATGTGGTCACTAGGGCCTAGCAACAAGGGGGACTTGTCCAAAGCTGCAGTGTGAGGATCTCTGGGCAGAGGTGGCTCCTCTATCCTGATCATTCCACGTGTCCATCATCTCCTCTTCTAGTTAAATTCATTTAACAACTATGGTTGACTATCGTCAGGCTTTATGCTAAGGATAGGGGAATCCAGCAGCAACTAAAGCAATACTCTTGTCCTGATGGGGACAGAGAGTAAACACCATTACTGGAGCAAGTCACCTACCCCGAGTCTCAGTGTCCTGTGCAAACAGACACCTCATGTCTCAGTAAACCAAAACATCAAAAGCTCAGGAAGTGGTGGTTAGCACTGTCATGATTATTAAAAAGTTGCAACAGTAGGTATATAATTACAAATGGTGGTAGCTTGCATGAGGGGAACGAATAGGGCAGGCTGAGGGCTGTGATAAGGGTGGAGGTGGTGAGCAACCGGGGGAGGGTGCCTCTGGCTGAAGCGTAAGGAAGGAAGGAAATGAAGAAGCAAGTGGTGAAGAATGGGGCAGAGTAGACAGCACGAAAGGGGCCCAAAGAGGAAAGAGGCCGTTGTGGCCCAAGTGAGGCAGCCAATGGAAGGGACAGGGTGATGCTGGGGATCTGGGCCAGGGCTGATGGGACCAGCCTTGTGGGATGCAGAGGCCCAGGAGTGGGATGGGGAGAGGATTGACACCTACTTGCTGATGTACTCCCCGGTGAGGATGACGCTGCAGGTCTGGCATTTGAAGCAGCTGACGTGCCACTGCTTGTCCAGTGCCAGGAGCGACTGGCCATGCTTGATCTCCTCCTTGCACCCAGCACAGTCTGCAAAGACAGGAGACGAGGCTAAGCAAAACTTCCTGGGCTCCCTGACTTCCCACTATCACCTCACACCACTGTCAAGGGAACTCTTCCCTGAACGTCACTTTGCTTTCAGGTGTCCCACGCTGGCACCAGCAGCTGCCCAGAGACTCTACCAGGGAAAGGAAGAGGCCACCAGAGCCCTGGCCTATTGACAAGGGACTTTGGACCCATGGGCTCTTCTGTGGAAGGAAAGACCTTCGTACTTTCATCACAGGCACCAGTCATCCAAATTCTCTGGCCCTCCTCTGGCCCCTCCTCAACTAAACTCATGCTTCTCTTCTTGGCCTGGAATCCTCATCACTGGGAGCTCACAACACATGACACCATCACTTCACCCAGGCCTACTGACTTTTAATTAGATCTCTGTGCATGGTAAAATCTGAGACACGTTGCTCCTTGGGGCAGGCTATATTTTTCTTCCTTCTTAGGCTGTACACTTAATTACAAGTGCCAAGTCTATATGTTGGGACTAAATTTATATCCCTGCTTAGTGTGGTGCTAGTTGTACAGTAGGACCTCAAAACACCTTTGCTTGTGTATGAATGAGTGGGTCGTACAGCACCCAGACAAAGAATAAAATTTATCACGGCCACTCCTTCCCCTATATACTTATATGCCACACATTCGTCTTCCCAGGAACTAAGGGTTAGTCTGGTGAGACTGTCCCAAACCAGAAATGTGCTCTCACTCCCTGTCACCCTGGAACCATGCTGGGGCTGGAAGTGTGTGTATGTGTGTGGCCCAGAAGTCTGCCTGTTGCTCAATGAATGTCAGGGAGGGTATGGGAGGGACAGGAAAGAGAGCCAGTGTCCAGGGTACTTGGGAGATGCTGGGAATTCAGGCCTTGCGGACCGGATGGCCCACTTTGGAGGAGGAAAGGGTCATGGGGCAAAGTTTACCACAGGACAAACCTCTCTGTTGGCGCCTCAAGACAAAGGCAGACTTTGGAGCAGTGAGAAGAAAAGAAACTATGCATAAAATTGGGGGAGCCTGATTGGATAGCTTTCGATCCAGCTGGAGGCCAGTGCTGTGAGAGTAGATGATGTGTCTAAGAAGGGTAGTGTGTCCAACAGGCTGTGGGGAGGGGCTAGGCTCTGATGAAGTGTTTGTATGAATCCCATCCTTCTGTGCCTGACTCTTGCCTATTCACACCTTTCTAACATCTTTGGAAACAGGGAGGTCTCCAACTGCAACATTTTTGGGTCCCAGGCCTTTGATAGAGCCTGGAAGAATGCAGAGTTTTGGAATTTATCTATTTCTCTTTCTTTTTTCCTAGAATGAGTTTTAAGTCTTTCTGCTTCCCCACCCCAGTAATAATAGGCTTTAGAACACAATAGTTTAGAAAGGTGGGGTCCCTTCTCTCTTTTATAGACAGACAATCATCTGAAGTGACTTGTCTGACTTTAGTATAGATGCTGCAGGCGTTTGACCAAGTTTTCTAGGTGATGGACAATAAACGTGTCCCTCATAGGGTTTAATAATTCAACTGGGGCTCTAGTTCAGAGAGCATTTGATCAAATGTCCCAGTCATTGCAGGAATCTGCTGTATTCTTCATAGGCGGACACAGTCTTCTGCTTAATCACATCTAGGAGTCAGCTCAGCCCATCTTGAGAAAGCCCACTGTGTATCAGGCCAGGCTTGACTGTCATGGCTGCCTTCTTTATTTGAAGCTGAGGCCTGACTCCTGTGACTCCCCCAGTTCCTATGCAACTAAGAATAATTTGCTCTCTTTTGTGACAGTTCCTTCAAATTGTTTAAAGACAAGTACAGTTTCTTTCATATACTTCCTTCTTTACACTTCCCCTTGATGTAGTCATGCATTAATCGGGTTCACTTGTGGGTTCCATGGAGGAAAGCACAGTTCTCCACCTTTGCAATAAAACTGATTTAATAACTACATGCTTGCATAGCCCCATCCCAGTGACAAGTGCCATCTTTCTCAGTTAAGGTGATACATCTGAGATGGATTTAGCACCTTTTGGACCTGGTCCAGAGTAATGGCTGACAAGTGGACTGAGAGGTTAGAGTGAATGACAGAAGCTGGCACAGGCAAGAATCATAGCTCCCCAGTGTACCAGTCGTATAACACTTGAGCCCAGGCACCTTCATCTGAATGTCTTCCTCGCAGTCAGGCTGGTGTAAGTAATGCTCATACCTGATCAGTGATTGCTGTCATTGTTTCACAGACTTGTGTTTTAATCCATGTTCTGTGGCTCTCCCAGTAACTGATGTGAAGCTGTATGCCATGCTTCTATTGCAGGAAGCCCTATTTATTCCTCTGGACAATCCTGGGCCTCCCTCCCCATGTGGTTTTACTTTTCATGTCACTTTATGATTCTCCATTGCATTGGTTTCATAGTTTTCTAGAACTTTCTCTCCCTCTGTTTCATCCTTTCACTCTTGAAAGGATGGAGCCTCAGGTATCCCATCTTGGAGCCCACAGGTCTGGTGTCATGAGCAGGGTCTGGAGAACCACAGCTTATCCTGAACTGGTTTCTGGAGAGCCAGCTGTCCACTCCTCACACACCCCTCTCTATTCCAAAATTACAGTCTCCATCCGGCAGAAAGTATGATGCCAGCACCTGTTCCTCCCAAATCCCCCAGTTGGTTCCTAAAGCCTCTGAAGACTCTAGACAGCCATTCTTAGTTTCACTGACTATGCCATTCATTCCACCTAGCTCGGCAAAAATAACCAGGTTTTGTGAGTCACAGCAAGCTACCCACCTTTGTCTAGGCAACTAATCCAGGAAGACAGGATTCTTCCCGATTAGCAAGGCATGTTTCTGGTATAGAATAATATGGGAATTGTGTCCTGAGCCAGACAGCCTGGTTTTGTGTCTTGTTATTTGTGTTACTTTGGGAAAGTCATTTGTGTTTGTAGAGTTTCAGTTTTCTCACTTACAGAACAGTACTCTTATCTCCTTTGTAGAGTTACTGCAATGAGTAAGTGCTTGAGTGCTTAAGTGATTAAGTGCTTGACAATGGTAATAATCAATGTTGCCAGTAGTGATGCTGGTGAGGCTGGTACTGGGGGGTAAGGAAGGAGTTGGTAGTGATAGTGATGGTGAAGGTGATGATGTGATGGTACTGGTGGTGGTCATGGAGGTGATGTGGTATTGGTGATGATAATGGCAGGTATGGTGGTGATGGTGATACTGATAATTGGGCTGTGATGGTGTTAGTAACGGTGATGATGGAAGTGGTGGCGATGGTGATGCTGATGATAACAGAAGAGACACAGTAATGGTGGTGTTGCTATGGCTGCTGGTCCATGTCAATGAGGCCTGTGCAGTGCCTTGTAATAACAGTGAATCACGGTTAGCAGTGGTGAGGGTGGCATGGCGGGAGTAGTGATGGGGATTCTGCTACTGCTGCTGACTCTCTTTCATGATGTATATGCGGAGACACAATGGTGGTCACACAATCCATGCCTCTTGACAGTTCCTGAGTCTTCTCAGTCTCTTTGGAGTACACACTGCTCCTGCTTTTCCAAAATATTTTTATTAACCTCCCAGGGATGAAACGTCACATTCCTGCAGCTTAAAAACTAGATTATTCTTTCCTTTTCCACAGTCTGTTTTTCTTAGCAATCTTCTCTCTCTTCCTTGAGCATACAGGAGACCTTCCAATAGCCTCCCTAGCCAGGAGGTCCCTTGTATTTTCAAAATGAATAATGAGAAAACCATTCTATGAAACGATGCACCGTGGATCCGCAGATGGATGTCTTTACTTTGTGAGCAGTGAGATGAGCCATCACCCTGAGCTTTGCCCTTGGAAACTGTCCCCCTGCTCACTTCTTCTCTTTGCTCCCTTCTTTTCTTTAGTACCCTCTCCTCATCCTTCTCTCCCTCTCAGTGTGCAGGACTAGGGCGGAGCTCCTCTCCAGCACATGCTTAGGTATGAGACACCCACACTCAGCCGAGGATGACTCCCACCTGCCAGAGAGACCCACTGCACAGCACAACCTGAGAGAAGTAACAGCAGATTCGGAGTCTGACTCTCACCACACCTTTGCTTTCTAAATCCAACCTCCATGCCGGTAACAGACCTCGCTGTATATTTACAGAGCTACTGTTACCTAGATTTATGCATACAATGCACTTGTTTTCCACAGTCGCCCTGAGGATAAGGAAGCCCATCCTGCTTTCATGGCTGGATAACCTGAGCCTCAGAGGCTATGCGACTGTTATGCATCATGTGGAACGTTGGAAGCCCCCTGACTCACGCTTGCCTCTCTTGTTGCGTTCATGTGGGTCCACTGGGCTGTGAGTGCCACAGCAGCATCAGCCCCCGGGCCATGGTCAGCCTCCCAGGCCTTCTGTTGCTCTAGATGAGGCTTTTAAGGGGTTATGAAGGATACCAGTGAGTGCTCAGCCACGATGGGAACCTGCTCAGAGCAGCCAGCTCTTTGTGAGCATCGACAAGGACGCTGAAGGAAGGGCACTGCACACTGCAGGACCAGATCAGACTGGACTGAAAGGAAGAGTGGGCAAGGGAGGGAGCCTTCCTGTGCTTTCTCTCTGCTGCCCACATTTGGGTGGACTCTAATAGGCCCATGAGAGCTAAACCCTGCTGACTGAGGTATTCTCAGCTCATCCTCCTTGCGGGGATATGGCCCCCAATGTGCTGACTCCGCTGGAGCCACTGCGGGCAGGCACCTCCACCCCCACCCCGCGTGCCTGCACTGTGGTGCAGCCCAGGAGGCTAATGGGTTTTCATTGATCTCTTGATGAGACCGGCCAGAGTGTCATATAACACAGAAGAACACTGGAGCCCAGCAGGGCTTACAGAGACCCAGGGGGCCCGGTCTACGCGTGCAGGCGCGTGCAGTCAGCTGCCCGACAAGGGCAACTGGGAAGAGTGATTTAAACCTCTGATTGCTGGAGGCACTTGAGTGGAATGAACTTCACAAATTAGGAGACTTGCTCCAAGGCTCACCCTCGATCCTCACTTTCTCCCCAAATCTGCAGTTTGGTGATAAAACATAGTATCTCTTATGGCCTGGGAGAGGTGCCCTTCATCCCTAGACGGTGGTTCCCAATCTTAGAAGCAGCAAATGAATATCCTAAGAATTCTTCAATTACTGAGAATGTCAGTGCCTCTGTTCCATACCTGGGGTCCTAGAGGAGCTGAGCAGTTGTATTTTAACAAGGTGCAGCATGAACCCAGTGTGGCAGTTCACAGAACACATTCTATGAAGCTGGAGCACAGCGCTCCTAGGACCCTCCCTACTTCCTCGTTTGTGAGTCATGCCTGCAAATTCTTCCTTAGTGGAGTTTGTCAAAACTGAGAAACACTGGTGACATAATATTCATCAACCCTGTTGTGGTGCCCTTGGGATATAAGATCAGGAACCCAGCTAGTCCCAGGAGAGACCCACCCAAGTGGCTGATAAGCAGCACCAGCCATCACTGTTTACAGCCAGGCAGCCTGCCTTCCCTGCATTGTGCTTGTGAAGCTTGTGTGTCTGGGCTTTGTGCCAACTGGGTCACGCGTCAGGAATCCTCCAGGGAGGGAACCTTCCCTGTTTCCCTTTAGGCTTGAGGGTGTGGCCGACAGTGCCAGGACAGGGGATCTGGGGAGATAGCACCATGGGCTCAGAGGTGCACTGGGAGGTGGGGAGACTCACGGCTTGGTCCACGGATCTTGATGGGCTTGCTGCTGGTCATGGACTGGGAGCAGGTCTGGCACACACATTCTTTGCCACTGAAGGTCACCTTGTCTCCAATGGGGAAAGGCTTCCTGCAAGGGGGTCGAGGCAGAAAGTCAGTGCCTGTGTATGGGATTCGGAGGCTATTCCTGACCTGACAACACGTGTGCTCACAGCAGTCTGGTAGCACATTCAGCTTTCCTTCTCGAGCACCTGGCAAATTAAAATGCTGTTCCTAGTGACAGGCTGACTAAACCACTCAGTGAGGGGCCAGCAGGCCAGAACTGGAGGCCCTTTGGGGCCATTTATCTGGTTTGACACTGAGAAAAGTATGCTGCTTATCTGAGCTTGCCTGTTTCAGCTGTAAGAGGGAGAGGCTGTGAACTCCTCACGGGGCTGTTCCCTCTTCCTGGAAGTAGTTTTCCCATACTAATTTGGCCTCTCTCCATACATCATGAATTCACTCAACTCTCAAACTTACTAAAATTTCTTCCTTTGTCTCTCTAGACATTTCTCAAAATTCCCCTTTTCAGTGGACAGTTTGTAAATCCACAAATATGTCTTCCCCTCTTCTGTGTTTGTTCAGTTTCTCCAGTTCAAGAGTCTCAAGCTTGTACATATTCCACCTCCCCAACAAATTATAAATCATGTCGAGAATTACCAGCACTGCTGGAGGCTGCTCTTGCTCCTGCAATTCGGGACTCCTGTCTCATGGACTCTGCACATAACCCCTGACAAAGGCTTCCAGTGGCTCCCCTATCCTTGCGTTAGCAATGTGTGAGGGTGGGGGGAATGCTGGGGCAGGAGTCTGAGGATGCATGTTCTTATGATGGCCCACCCACTAATTCAAGGCAAAAAGGCATAGCATGACCTTGGGGAGTCACCTCATCTCCACAGAGCCAGACAAAAATCTCAGCTCCTACCATATAGATCCTCTGTGCTGACCTCCGATGGGTCTTTGATCCCAGGAGTCAGGACTCAGGATTTTTCATCCATTCCACACTCTGCCATTAACCTTGGTCAGAAATTCTAATTTGTTAGTGACCTTAAGTAGTAACTAACTAGTTGATTTATGGGGAGAGTAATTATAAATTCTTTCCCCAGTTAGAAATGTGTACATATTCTAATCACGGTTTACTTATAGCTTCATCAGAACTGCCCATTAAATTTTAACATACTTATGGACAGGGCTGAGGTTCTAGTCATTCTTTTTTTTTCATTTCCTTAATGTGGTTCTTGGCATGCAGTGGACCCTTAATACACATTTGCTAAGTGAATAAGGGATTGAGATGCTGGGGTGGAGAAGCGGGCAGGGAAGAGCTCTTGATCCCTGGGAGATGTCCTGGGGGAGGCTAGATGGTTATCATAATAATGAGAAAAACAGAAAACACACACTATGTGCCAGTCACTGGGCTAAAGTCTGTGCACGTATCACCTCACTGCTCTTCATAAAAACCCACTGAGACTGCAATGGTTTTGACCCCTATTACCGATGGAGAAGCCAAGGCTTAAGAGAGCGAGTCACTTGTCAGAGTCACCCTGCCACAGGAGGTGCTGCCAGAATGATGCAGAAAGGCCAAAAACACACAGCCTTGTGTTAAGGATGTGGGAGCCTGAGCCAGGCTGGTAGTTTCCAAATTGACCTCTGAGGGGCCAGAGAAGCCTGGTTATTCAGTGGGTCTTTTGGGAGCCTTTTGAAGAAGTGGTTGGTTGAGCATGGAGCTTGGATCCTCAGTCTGCCTCCATCACGGGACAAACTACTATTTCATGTCAGACTGTGTGCGACAGATAGGATTTATCTGCTAACAGGTTTGAAAACCACTGTTCAGATCCTTTCACCCCTTAGGTTCTTGAAACCCAGACATCCAGAGTAAGCCCTATAAGCCCCAGAACTGCCTGGGAAAGGCCACATCCTCCCCTTCTCTGAGGCTCACACAGAGGGCCTCTGTTTCCCAGCCACCCACTCACCTGCACAGGCTGCACACAAAGCACTTGGGGTGGTAGGTGCGGCCCAGGGCGGAGATGACCTCGCCTGTGATGAAGTCCCGGCAACTGTCACAGCGGGTGCCATAGAGCTGCTGGTAGTCCTGCGTGCAGATGTACTCCTGGTTTTTGAAGAAGAAGCCTGACTGGGCCAGGCCACAGCCACACACTTTGGGGAACAAGGAAAGAAACAAGGGCAGGTTGAGCCCAGGGAAGATCTGCAACCTCACTGGGGAAATGGCTGGTATCTGGTTTGTCAAGAGTGCCAGAGAATAGTGGCACATCAGATCTCACAGGTCTTTGGGACTTTGTGTCTCATGATACGGCCTGCAGACATTCTGTGCCAGAATCACCTGAGGGCTGCTTCAGAGGCAGATGCCTGGGCCCTCATTTTTTCTCCCTAGGGTCGGGCCTGGCACCTGCCTTGTCACACACTGCCTAGGTGATTTGATACACAGTGCTCAAGATCCACGAATGCACAACACACTAAAGTTTAAGGCCCTGTGATTCACACAACGCTGCATAGCTGGAGGCGTCACGAATTTGATAAAAGAATCACTCAGTGAAAGATCTCCTGCGTACTTCCTATGTGTACAACTCTATGCCGAGTGAAGAGTCATGTGGAGACCATATGCTTCAAATCCCAAACTGGAGACAATTTAGGATAGCAATGGATGGAGGATTTGTCGTTTCTAATCTGTCCCTACCACAGCCAAGAGGGCTGGTATGTTTCCAGCATGACTGATAAATCACATGATCCTTTAACTGCAAAGACTTAAAAATGTATGCAGAGTGAAGACGATGTAGAGAGGCACTGTATATAATGGCAATGGGCCACCAGGTAGGTGCAGGCAGCAAGGGCTGTCCATGGGGAGGAAGAAGGGAGCCTGGGCAGCGAGGAAGAATGATGCAAGGTTTCTTGGAGAAGGTGAATTCTGAGTGGAAAATTGCAGGGACAGAATGAGCCAAAATACACAACTGAGAGGTTGTGAGTGAATCTGATGTGGAGGTGGGCTGAGGTTGGTAGGGTGGTGCTCGTAGGGCATGTGGGGAAGCACACAGGAAAAGGGCTTTTGAAACAGTTGCAGGAAAGCCTCAACCCATTTTAAGAAGTTTGGGCTTTGAACGAATTAAAGACATCATGTTACAGTGATACACACATACTTTATAAGCAGCACAACTCATAGTAGCTAAATCTTGGAAGCTGCCTATATGTACATCAACGGATGAAGGGATAAAGGAAATGTGGTATTTATACACAGTGGAGTACTACCCCACTATAATAAGGGTAAACTTGACTCATTTGTAGGAAAATGACTATACCTTGAGATCATAATTGAAGTAAAAACATTGTAAGTAAAATAAATCAGACACACATGTTTAAATATTGTATGCTTCCTCTTATATGGGAAAGCCAAAGCATAAATGAATGAAAGAGCAAAATAAAAGATAGCAGGAAACAGGAAGACAGTTCTTTTGCAAATGGGAAAGGGACCAAGAGATGGAGGGAGCGGGCAGGAGGAGGGAAATGGTGTAAAAAGAATTAATATGTGTTATATGTATGTAATAAGGCACAGTAAATGTCTTCACTGTGTACCTCAAACATGTGCTGATAAAGGAAATTTGGGCTTTGTGGGATATTGAGAAGCCACGGATAGTTTTCTCCCTAGTTTTTAAGACAGTTAAAAAATTACTTTGAAAACACAAAAGTAGAAAGAGTGTAATAATTCCCCATAATCTAGCTGCAAACTGATCAGTTACACAGATAGTTTTTAAATAGAGATGTAACATGACTTTATGAGGCATTCCAGAAGGTCTCTTGGAATGTCCTTGCAGGTACTAGGAAGAAATACATATAGGTCAGGTAATAGAAGAATAGCTGGATTTACAGGTGTCTGAAGAACTGAATTATGTAGGAGCAGGTCCCAGTAAAGGACTTGGACATATAGGAGATAAGATTTTCCTAAAAGGAGTTAAGTTATGAAATCAAAACATAATGGACAGAGTGGAATGAGGCAAAGATAATGGGTCAGTCAGAAAGGGACTCTGTCATCGATTCAAGGAGGGGAATGGGAAAGCACCTTTAAATCTTACGGTCAGCTCCTTTGTTCTGAGCTGGCACCTACCAGGAGACTGATAGTTTGACTCCACGTAGATATCCTTTGGAGGGAGAGAGCTAGCCAGGCCAACACAAACTTGTCTGACTGAGTGTCATAGCTCTTACATGCATTAATAAACAGTTACTTCGGTTGTTTACATGGGTAAACAAATGTTTACAGGGGTAAACCAAATCGAAGGATTTGGTTAGTACAAATCAGCATTCTCAGGGGTGATCAATTGTGGGCAGGCCAATAAAAGTGTCCAGGCCTGCGGGTCCCAAGAGCCAGCTTGGAATTGGGTGACATCATCCTGGTAAATACAACTTCATCATCAACAGGGAAAGTTGTTCTGCAAAGGAAGTCAAGTTAAAAATAGAGATTTCCAAGTGAATGCCAGGCATGTTTTACAAGTGTTTGTTCACCTCTACAGGCTTGAGACAGGCTTGCAGGGGCAGACTGAGTGGGGAGGAGCAGCTCCATAAGTCACAGCAAAAGAAGGGGAGACACAATGTTCTGGGAATCAGACCACTGTGCCCTGGTTTCATCATTCCCTATAAAACTCTGGATAACAGCGCACTTGGTCCTCTCTTTCCTGGGGCCTGCATCCGCTGCAAAATGAAAAGGCTGAGTGCTCCTTGTAGAACATGCCTATGAGGCCATGGGAAGAAGAGCTACCTTCTGGGATTAGCAGGTGTCTAAACATTTTAAATTCAGTGTATAGTCTTGCTGGGGCCCTCTGAAACCTCCACTGCAGAGGCAGGAAGGATGGTGGAGATGGTGGTCATGGGAGATGGAGAAGGGTTTATCTTCCAAACAGCACTGTGAGAATTCATCATAGCAAACAATGCAGGCAAAGCCTGAGTACAGGGTGTTCTGAGTGCACAGGTGGTGGATCAATTGCTTCATGGAAATAGTTGGGTCATGGCTTATGACCTCATTGGAAGCAGCTCCTGTTTTTTCCCTTCTTTTTTCTCCTTTGTTTTCCTCGCCACCTCCACCCCGCAGAGCCACCTCTCTCAGAGGAGAAAGCCAGGAGGCCATAAGAAAACTTGGAACAATCAGTTCCTCCATTTCCCCCAAGGAGCCAAAGGAGGAAGTTTTTGATAGAAAGGATGTAAAGGTTGATAAGAATCTCAGGGATTCCTGAAATACAGTGGGGAATACAAGAATGGGAGGTAAGGAGCAAGTGGGACCAGCATGATGGGTGCATTCGAGGCTGAGTGCAGCCAGTTGTGCAAATAACAGTAAAGGCCGAGACACCATTTTTAGGATGAAAAGGATGGGGATTAGTACATCCAGAGCAGTCATTACTCTGTGAAATAAAAAATAAAGTCTACTAATTCAAACAACAACAGCAGCAGCAGCAGCAGCAACAACAACAACACAAGCAAAAGCAGATCATATGGTTGGACAGGACGATAGAATACATACATGTAGAACTGTTTTGAGAAAATCTAGAGTGAATGCTCACTGTAAACATAGTGCCTAGCAAGAAACCTTGTACACAGCCTTAGTGTGTGTCAGTGGAAAATGTACTGGTTCATGGATTGCTGGAAATTTCTGCAAGGTCCTATTCTACCACTCAAGTGCTATGGGACTGAAAAAGTCACCTCATCCGTCTGGAGCTCATTTGTGAAATGAGGGGGCTAGATCTGAGAGTTTGGGATACTGTCAAAAAATTCTGTTGATTTCCAACTTTGCAAAAGAGATTAGATTTCATAAAATTTCAAGGTCAGAGTTAGAAGGCCCCTTAAGGGTCATCTAGTTCATTGCTTGAAACAGTTTAATTGTGAAGTATATTGTGCAGAGAGAAACTATGTCTAAACTGCTTAAAGAGTAATAAAATACATCTCCACCTATCCACCACTAAGTCTACAAAATAAGATATTGCTAGTGCTATAGAAGCCTGTTTTTCTCTCCCTAAGAGCACTTCCTTCTCACACTGTCCTTAATTGCATACTTTCTTTATAGTTTTACCTCCTGTGATGTATATCCATAAATAATGCATGGCCTGGGTTTGAACTTTGTATTGATGGATTCTTTCTGTATTTATTCTTCTGTGCTTGCCAGATTGTGTCAGTATTATATGTTTGAGATGCATCCAATGGCCATGCATGAAGCTATAGTCATTCATTTTCACTGCCATGCTGTATTCCATGATCTGAATAAATTGTCATCTATTTATTCCACTGTTGAGGGACATCTGAACTTCTTGTAAGTTTTTGCTCTTTTAAAAAATGGTATTATGAACATTCCTGTATTTGTGAGATGATGCCTATTTTTTACGTTTTTCCCATTGACACTACCACCAGCATTTCCTATTCATCCATATCATCATCAATTCCTTGGGAACATCTGAACAATCAGTGTTGTACATATGAAGTGGGTGTTTATTGTGATTTAAAAATTAATTCTCTTGATTATTAATACAATCGAGAATATTTTCATGTATTTTTTTCTCTTATAAAATGGTTGCCGATATCATTAGCCTTTTTTTTTTCTTTGAGACTTATAGAAATTCTTAGAAATGAATCCCTTTTCCATTGTTATTACAACTATCTTCTGCAATTTGAAGCTTGTCTTGTCACTCCTTTTCTGGTATTTTTGATAACTGAAGCCCTCAGTTTTTGTTGTTGAATTTATCTCTTTTTCTTTATGGTTTGTACTTTCAGTATCATGTCTAAGAAATTCTTCCCTACCCTGAAATCCCAAAACAATGTCTCCTACATTGTCTTCTAAAAATTGCATTGTGTTGCTTTTTATATCTACATTATTTGCCCATCTGGAATTGACGTTAGTGAATGGTATACAGTAGAGATGCAATTTCCTCCCATGTGGATAGTTAATCATGTCAGTGCCATTTATCCAGAGTTTAATTGTTCCACACTGATCTACAAAAAACATGTTTCCAGAAATGTGAAGCCTTGTTTTTGCTCTGTATTCAGTTGCATTGGTCTGTTTATCTGTCCTTAGCCCAAAATATACTATGCTATAGTTTATATGGTAATAATAAACAATGATATCTGGTAGGACAGGTCCTCTGGCCTTGCTGCTGTTCTTTAGGAATGTG